TACGCCATACGTAAGGGCGGCAACAAAGTTTAAAAATATCGCACGACAAATTGTCCATCGTCGTGAGACGGTCTCGCACATTTAGGCGATCAGCCCGCTTGCTGGTACTTCGTTCTGCCGCTCATTTTTTTCATCTTAAATATTGCGTTAATTCTTTTTATAAATAAATAAGAAACATATATATATGAAGAGTGTTAATTAACAATGATGATAATTTGAAGTGACTTTACTCGGCGCGTAACTTAGAAATAATTGAAAATTTTACGTTACAAGTTCAATTCTACGAATTTTTTGCAAATAATTGCTAATTTTTGCATATATTTCCTAAATTACCTAAAAATAGTTTAAAGAAATGATATGGAACATTGTTGCTTTCTTAATTCGCGATAACATTTTTGATAGTGCAAATCACAAAGTAGTAATTTATTTGATACTTTATTAAATAACGTATTGCGACGATTGCATATATAACTCTCTTTGAAAATACTGATTAAATTACTACATCGGCTCTCACTTTTCAGCTAGATAAGCTCGATAATTTCATTGATAATATTTTTATTTCGTACTCACATTCACCACATTGCGGCGACTGATTGATATAGAATCGGTTATGCGGACATTTACGGAGTCGGTGCACGAAACATCTCGGGTGTCAAACTTTCTCCCGTTAACCTTCAGCCGTTTAAAAAGCTGCGGGACGCGTTTTTGGCAGCGCGGCGGGGCGGATATGCCCATAATCGGAAAGTTGACGGGATTAATAATAATTAATCCCTAGGGCGATCGGGTAGACGGGCATGACGGGTAGACGGTAAGCATCATGGGTAGGTAGATGGTAGATGCGAGTCAGCGCGCGCGTCAGACGATTCGTTGCAGAAATACGGGACAGCTGACGGGTGACAGTGACAGTGACGGCGAATAAAAGCGAGACGAGGGTAGATCGCGCGAGGGCGGGAGGGATGGTAATCAAATTATTCGAAATGCTCGAAAAGCGGAGAGTTACTCGGCAAGGTTAATCGCAGCGTCCGTCGGCGGTGCTCTCATAAAATGTTAACGAAATTAAAAACCTCCACGCTCCGCAAAGCGTCACGCAATTTCCATGCACCGAGTTCCCATGCAAAATTGAGGAAAGTCGAAGTTGCGTGTCCTGTTACGAACTTTCGCCCCTTCCCTTCCCCCCCCCTCCCCTCCTCCCCTCCTCCCCCTCCCCCTCTCTCTACCTCTCGTACTTCTCATGTGTCAAGTAATAATATTTCATCCGAGAAACTTTGTTGTTCTGACATAAATAAATAAATGTCTCGCGAAAAAAATTCGCATTTTTTTTTTGCTTTATTTGAAGAAACGATTAACAAATATTTATGCAGACTTCAAACTTTTAATCACATAATTATGAAAAATAACCAGCGTATTTTATTATAAGAAGCATTGCTAATTTAATTTTGTAAGAAGTCACGAAATAAATAACGAAATAAATAATATTAACAAAAATTTGTTAATTGTCAGGATAATAAAATAAGTTTAGTACGCATATGTATAGATATAAGAGCAAGAAGGCAAGCAATTATCTTCGCATTCGTACGAGCGATCTGTGGACTCGACTTGTAGACGACCCGGCAATAGACTACTTGCGATCATCTCGAACGCTAACGGCTCCAAATTTATCGCCAATCTATATATTATTGTATTTTTCGCTGACACACAATCGGTCGAAGTCGAGCGGTAACGCCCGGACGATTCAAAGTCTTCATTGTTTTTCTCGTGTAAGCAAATTATAATATTCCCACAATTTAAACGTGACAAGCATATAATAACGAAGTGAATTCTTGATAACTAAAAGAATATATTAAAAAATTAATTGTGTGTGTCTTTTGGTCGTCATAATTGATTATTTATTATGTTTATTATAAAAAGACGTCAGATGACGATCATTTGCTACTTGAGATGTTACATCGTCATATTCTACACTTACAAAAAAGGAATACATTTTTTAATGGAAAAATTGATTTCTCTCCATGTGACTCGGATAAATTATGCCAATGTGATCGTGTAAAATGATTTTTTGCATCAACTAAGATCATCCTCGCGTCGTATTTCTCAACTTTGCAAATGCCGTCGCCAATGCTATGCGAGTGGCGTAAGATTCATAAGTTTCATGGAAAACTTCTTACGACGACTGGCGCGAGGAACCAGTCGAATACCAGGACGAGCGCAGTCGGCTTAGAAGACACGCACAAAATCGCGCCGATGCATCGATACGCGTTGAGAGCGCTGATTGATCGATCGGGAGAAAAACGCTCGCTCGCTCGCGTATAACGGTACGATTTGAGGTGGCTTTACCCTTCGTGGAAGCGGTCTTGTCGAGCGATGGCCTGAATAGAGTCTCCTACCGTGTGTATAAATCTGTCTCGTGTTGTTTCTCTTTTATTTCTTTTTTTTTTTATTCGTTGATCGATCGATCGATCCGCGATTGATCGCTCTCCGCGAATCCAGCGGAGATGCAGGGTCGAGTTTAACGTCGGTCATCGGGGTAAATGTCGAACGCACAACACACGTGCGTAAACGTGTTGTGCGGCCGTACGAGCGCCGCTGCGCTTTGATCGGCAAGAAACTCGGGGACGACTTTGCCGTGCTTGCTTCCTGATTTATTGCCGATTCCTCGACCGCGAAGAGGCCCTGCGCGGGCGTTTGTGAAGCGTTTTTGCGACGCCGCGACATGCGCCGCTCAGCAACGAGGATTTTCTAAGTTCGAATCTTCTTATTTTGAAAACCGGCCACGTAACACGTCGAACGTTTTGCTGAGCTATCGGTGCAGTCTTCATTTATGCAATTTATCTCGATCTAGTAAAAACTGTCGCACGAGCAGGACAATATTAATAAATAATATAATATCGAGAGGCAGATAACTCAAGAAACTAATAACCAATGTAAATTGAAAGATATTTTGCAATCTATGACGCGAAGTGAGCTGCTGCAAATCGAAGCAATTTTAATACCGGAGATGTGTGTTTGCAATATCGTGTGTTATAGAGCAAAAAGAATGTCACGGATAATCGTTTGTCGATTGCATATTATAAATGTTTTTGATCTGCCGAGAGTTAACCCGCTGACAACACAATATCGGAAATTTCATATCGTTAATGAAATTACGACTTTGAAGGAAAACGCGCTTTACAGCGCTATTAAAGTGCTGTAGACAGCCTGAAAGAGAGACGCACCGTGTGCGTCTCATTTGATCGGTTGATTGGGAAAGTACCGCGGAGGAAGTCTATCGCAGTTGCCTCGCTAAATTTATTTTAAGAAGACCCATCGAGCCCGATCGTACGTGCGTACCAAATTATTACATATAATCGTCAGGCTCTCTTCGATTTACAAAGAGACCAAATCGTCGAAGCCGAAATGTCGATAACGTCGCGATATTACGTCGCCGTTATAAAAATTACAGAAAGTCATGCGATTAGTATTCGTATCCGCAATTTAAAACAGTCTTGTCTAATATGCCGCGTTATCGCCAATACTTTTGCCTTGTTATCGACCAATTAGAAATAATTATTCGCACGCAGCACACATCGCCGCGCGCGTCGCATCACGCGTGCATCACAGCGATGCGGTCCGATCACAATCGCAAGATCGGTGCAATCATCCATATTGTTTTCTCTTATGCAATCCCCGGCTTTTTTTTGAGCTTCTCTTTGCGGTGCATCGTGTCATCGCATGATTAATAAAAAGATAATTTTCGAACGCCAACTTTGTATCGACTGCTCCAAATAGCTTCGATACGTAAATGATTATCGCGTTCATTTTCTCTCCCGATAACCTTACAGCGACTTGACGAAGCTGTAATATTATACTATGTAACGATCTTTGGCATCAATGATACTTGATACTTTCGCGAACGTTGGTGTATTTTTATATCTTTATCTTTGCGAAAGCTAAAAAAAGCCGCACGCTCGCAGCCATACTTAATGCAGCGCATCTTCGATTTCAGAACTACTTTCTAGCCGGCAGAAATGTGTCAGGACTTGTTGAATCTTAAACGAGTAATGTGAAAAGAGACACAGTCGAATGTCTCTTACGTCCACAAAGTTGCGATGTGCTTTAACGCGATTGAAAATGATCGGATGATTCACATAAATATGTCTGTTTACAAACATGTAAATAATTTTTATCATATTCAAATGGAACGAAATAAATATTTACGTATTTTTTTGTACATTTTATTTTCAATGCTACTTTATTCACGCTGTCCAATATCTCCGTACAGATAGTACTAAGCGAGTACATTAAGCAGCACAGCGATACTTATTTATCGAACAGTGTAGTATGACCAGTGACAATCTCTTTATTCACAAATAATAAATGATGCAAGCCAAGTTCGGAGGATCTTGCATTTTGAAAATGCAAAGAGATGTGCATTCATGTGCGGATAGGTTAAGTGGAAAAGAAAACGGCACTTTATCGCTGACATGTTTAGCGTGTCTCGGCGAGTCTATCGACGAAACTATATCTCCTATTTGGAATTTTCCTACACAATTATTGACGCGCATCATACCCCTCGGTGCATTTGTTACTACGCAGCATTAAATAATCGTACGCGGCTGTAGGAAAAAAAGAATGCAAATTAAAAATAAAGATCTGACGCAATTAGAATTCTATTTCAGATCTAACGTTTGCACAATTAGAATTCTCTTTTCCGATCGTAGAGAGAATTTCAAAATATGTTTTTCTTTTTCCTATAAAGATTTCGCTTATCTTGCACCGAGTAATCTATAAATCTATAAATAGTTATCATATATATATATATATATATATATATATATATATATATATATATATATAATAA